AGACTCACAGAAACTGGAATTGAGACATCTTGACTTCTTACAAATGGGCATTAAGTGCAAAAATATGAGTGTTTAGAAAGGAGCAAAGTACTTCTTAAATGAACTGAGGTAGAGATGATAGAAGATTGCAACGGGCACATACTGAGCATTAAGCGTATTTAGTATCCTACTTTTTCTTACAGATAAGCTGTTCTCAATACTTTTTTGCAAAGCTAAGCAGTAGCACTCTATAGGTAATGACTGTGGGCTATTCCAGTGAATGCACAGAGACAATTTCATTTCTGTGAGTAGTGCCGTTGACTACAATGGGATGATTTCCATGTGTAAAGTTAGCCTGGAGCGTAAGTGTGGGCAAGATTGAACTGTGGGAAAGATTGAATATATACTTCACCTCTTGCAAAAAGGCTCTCGGGTAACAGAAATACGAAAGCTCCGCTTAGACCTTCTGTTCTGGAAGATCAGTTATGTGTTGTCTTGAAAAGTGGGTGCAAAATCTGTGTATAATCCAGCATGGCAGACAAAAGAACTGGAAGTGTAAGCGAAGAGCCAGTTGTTATGGTAATGCATTCTCGTACAGTTAAGGAAAATCTTTCATCTGAGGCTTTCAAAGCACTTGATGCTTAAGTGAGCGTTATATATTCTCTTAGAAAGGTACTGTTAAGTATCGTCACAGGGAGCAGCGAGGAGATTATGAATGGCTGGTCAAGGATCATGCAATGAAATAATGAGCATTTGTGGTTCCTAATGCTCTCCTTAACGATGGGGAATTATCTGTCCTAATGCTCAGTATTGGCCATAGGCCACAGGTTGGTCTCTGGCTGTGGCCGTTGTACAGAAACTCTTGGCCAGTTTTATCTTCTGCCTGGAAGAACGAGGAGGGTATGGGTATTCCTAGAAAATACGAGACTGTGCTGGGGAAGAAGGAGGTACTGCTGGTTAATGACTGGACTTTGGTCTTTGCAAAGAGAAACTCTTCAGGAGATTTGGAATAGGACGCTGTCTTGCTCTTTTCTGCGGTTACTTACTCTTCTTCCCCAAATCAAGATACTTTTAGGCCTGGTCCGCAAACTCTTTTGTACTGCTGGTAGTGCACGTGAGCGGGATGTTCTTTGCCCATCTCCTGTAACCCTGGCTGTGGACCCAGCCGCCCCAGCCCGCTCAGCAGCACTTCTAGGTCAGTAGCTTAATCCATGCTGTGGACATGAGTGAGACACTTCCTTGGAGCACTTTTACACTACTAGAACTGAGTTTTCCTTTGGAAGACCGTGTTGCATAATGTTATAAACCAGTGGTGAAGAATTTTAAACGCTAATATAATGGTGAGAAGTTTCCGAGGTGTGGGAAAATTTTAAGGCATTGCTGTGATGGAGGGAGGCAGTTTCTTGCTGTGTTTCTGAATGAGAAACGAGTTACCCAAAGACTATACTAAGCATGGTATAAAACCAATGAAGAACTAAAGGGAACCCACCTCAGCTGCTCCTGATGGATCCCCTTTTCCTTACACGCTGCTGTAGGAGCTTGGACTGGACTATCCTTGAGCCAGTCTCACTCTGCCCATGACCAGAAGGCTACAGAGACTGGCTTTCACCCCACATCCAAATCGGTGAAGGGAAGGAAATCTGTGAAGCATCTCTCTGCCAGAAGAAAAAACGGGAGTTCTTTTTCCTTTCAAATCTGTGTGGGGAGACATCAGCTTGCAAACGTATTTGTAAAGCCTGCCAGGCCTTGGCTAGAGGACTTGGTTGGGTTAGCTGAATCAGCAATCCTTCTTCACATTGATGCACATAGCAGTTAACAAAAGATTTTTGCCTGGGTTAAATGCTGTCCATCCCTGAACAAAATCCCTTGCAACAGCATACAGATTTTTTTTTTTTTTAAAAAAAACAAAAACACTTGGGCACTTGTGTCAGAAGCACATTGCTGAGGAATGGAGATCTTTCGTAGAGGAGAACTTGTAACTCTGACAGCGCATCATTAACGTGTAGACCTGGCTTCTGCATGAGAGGGAACGGAGAGTGTCCAGAGAGCCAGGGCTTTCCGTGCCCAGCCCGGCTGTCTGCCCACGCTGGGGCAGGCTCTGGGGAGTGCACCCAGCTGGTTTGGGGGTACCCTGCTCGAAGCAGAGCCCTCAGCAGTGGCCTGGCCCACGGACCACTAGGTGGCACTTAAGGGACACGGCAGGCACTTGGTTTTATTCGTTATGCACGAGCTTTTTTTATTATTATTTTGAATTTTTTTTTTTTTGGTCAAATGTAACTATTTATTCATTTTTTACTACCTGCTTGCTCCAGCCAACCCCTGCCGCACTGGCTGCCGAGCTTTGCCATCCTCGCCTCCTGGCAGCAGGGAGGAGCGGCAAGTCCAGTGGCCCAACCTTGGCCAGTGGTTGCCACGGCTGTTAAAAAAACTGGCAAGCCACATCACAGCACTTGGCTAGTAAAAAATGGATCTTGCATCAGTAGGAACAGTGATATCAAACTGTTGGAAATTTTGAAACCTTAGCCTTTTTTGGCATCAGTACTCTCATTTATATTTGCTTCCACCAGAACACAGAGTTTACCCTTTTTTTTCCCTTTTCAGTTCCTTTCAGTTTAAAACGATATTCTTCTGCAATGAGACCATTTAAAAAACAAAAAGGGGAGGGGGTGTTTCTGCAAAAGTTTGAGGTTTTTTGTTTCTCCCCCCTGGTCATTTATCTTACTGTGATTTCAATTTTCATTGCAATTGCCATTGTAGCCTACTGGTCTCTTTAGTTACTTCTACACTGTTCGAACACATTGATTCTTGAAAAGCTGCATTTTTAGCGATACCTAAATAACATGCAATTCGTCTCCTTTTTCATTCTGTGGAATAAGTTCGTATATTCTTACTTTTGATGCAAGGTTTTACTGTAGGCTCCAACAAGAGTGTGAGCACCACAAACTGCCTGCCTGACCGAGTCAGGGAGGTTTCTAATGCTCACCATCCAAGAAATATCGTTAAGAGCTGGCTCCCGTGTACCTCTGTCATTGCTCTGTGTTGTGCAGCAAAGCTATACCAGGAGGAGTTTATAGTATGCGTATTACATGGCTCTCTGAAAGGCTGTGTTTGCTCTTGCTCTCTCTAAACGAATGACTTGTCAAAGGGATGTGGTTTGGGCTCAGATTTATCGTGTGGCTCTGTTGGGTATTTGAGCTTCACTGTCCCCAAATCGTTGATGAAAGCCTCATGGACTTTGCCAGGCTACTGTTACCAGTGCTTGGGGCCGTCATTTCTTTCAAATATATAAAAAGTGATTGTAGAAATTAGGGAGGTTCTGGGCTATTCAGCTTACTGATAAAGAAATGCTCTGTTGCGTTAAATGGACTTTTAAAGGTCTTTGATTTTTGTAGACAGGAAAAAAGATTGCTTTTTCCATTTCACTCTCCTATTTGTACCAGAAATCTAGTTACAGAAGAAACACTTCAACCCATGAAAAGCCTTCCAGAATTCAAATGTGTTAGTATCCAATAGTTATTAAAATCCAAATATTTAAGATACTAATATTCAAATACTGGAAGAATACAGGGTGAGGTGCCTTTTTTTTGACCATCAGATAACACTACAGATGTTGCATACTTAGAAGAGGGGGTGAGAGAAATCTTATCAGCCAAAACATCTTTTCCTCCTCTTCTGAGGAGTTTCACATGCATTTTAAGAAAAGATTCCAAATCTCCCTCCTCTGTGCATGTGTTTGACACCGTCCGGTTGGAGAACAGCAGTGACCTGACAGAACCAGAAGTGGTACAAAAAAGTCCCTTCTTTTTAAATAAACCAAATTCTGCGCTTTCTGTCATTTTTGTTTAGCTTAAGCACTGGGAAACTTGTGACTGCTCCAGAGCGTGATGGGCCTATGCAGAAACCTCTTGGCAACCGCGAATTAGGTTCTTCGGTGTGTGACAGTTTATTGATGTTGTTATTATTACTATGATGGCTAAAATCCTGGCCCCTTAAAAGTCTGAGGTTTGCCTTGAACTTGGTTTTAAACACAAGCTTTCACCTGTGTAGAAACAAACCTTTTTTTGAGAAGGGAGCAGGATGGCGGGTTGCTCCGACTTGGCAAAAGTTGGGAAAAGAGGCGAAGCGGCCGTCTGCCCGTGCCGAGTGCCCTCCATCTCCCGCTCCCGCCTGCCTTCCCCCTCTCGGAGAGCCAGCCCATACCTTCTGGACAGAACGCAACCGGACCGTGTTTATGCCATGTTTGCTGCCACATGCCGGGGGACAGGCAGCTCCAAATCCTCCTGCCCTCCCCTCGCTGATGTGCTCTGCCCTGTCCTGGTCAAGCAGATTAAAAGATGTGGGAAGATCTCAGGAGAGGCAAAGCAAGGGCTTCACCCTCTGTTTTAACTTAGTCAAATATGCTGCAGGGAGGGTGTTTTGTTTTGCTGAAGTGTAGACCTGGGTGGTGAGTGTTCAGCTCAGTTTCTGTTTGAAACGTGAGAAGGGAGGAGGGAAGATTTATTTGGCGTCTCTTATGGCTTGTGTTTTCAGTAACTTTACTGGAATATTTGGTATAATTCAGACTTTCTCACTCCAGCCTTGCACACTTCAAAGACAGGCTTACTCCAATGAATTTTCATCGGTTTCAGGAGATAATAAGGTGACAGGGTGCATCCAAGATCTCTATAGCTTTTATCCACTCCCGCCCCCACCTTAGTCTTTCTCTGAGTATTTAGGCCATAAAGGTAACTCTGGGAGAAATTCTGGGTGCTAGGTTACTTACATTCAGATACATGATTCCTAAAGCTTCACAGAAAAACTTTTCTCCTGTTTTCCTAGCACAATAAAATGCAAGAAACCGGTTTCATTACATATCTGCAGAAGACATATGTCATCCGTTCAGCAGTCGCCCTAGATCTCCATTTCCCCTACTGTTGAATTGTTAAAGTCACTTTTGTGTATAGTGTTTCCTTTCATTGACTTTATTGTATGTGACTGCTAGTCATTTTCTGGGTGTAGCAATGACTGATTTGTTGTTGCAGACAGAGCAACCATCTGAGGTTGAATTACATCCTCAGATGAATAGACCCCCGTCGCAGGCAGAAGAAAACAGTTCAGCCAAAAAGGTGAGACCTGCACACGTTGTACCATTGTGGAGTGATTTGCCTTCATCAACAAAAGCGGTTGTTTTAAGTTTTAAAGCAATTAAATGGACGGTTAGGGTTACATTTTTACATGTTTACCTTCTCTGGAGGTCAAGACACTGGAGAGAACCGGGATTGCGTGTGACATCAGCTCAGATAAATCATTAAGAAAGCTCTTAGTACGTACACATTGATGTATGTGCTCTAAGAGAGGCAGCTTGCCATTTGTTTCAAATCAACAGGGGCTTGTGGAGCCTTAAGGAAGGCAAAAAAAGAGTTTGATTGTACTTGACCCCTGTCTCGCTGTAATTCTTCCAAATTGTGATGCACTTCTTGCTTCCAGTTACTGAGGATTTTGGTTTTGAGGTAAACACACCTGTTTGCTAGAGGTCAGGGTCTGCCGTTAAATGTACATGGACTGGGAGAGATTTGCTCAAGATGTGCATTTTCTAATACGGTTTTGTATGAGCATACCATTTGTATAAAATAAGCACCAATTTGCAACAGTACTCTTCAAAGGGCCTTGCTTAGGGATGGAGTGGCCTGAGCAGTGACTGTGAGGGTTTCCCCCTCCTGGTCACGCTCCCACCACCTTCTTCCCCCCCAGCCCAAAGAGGTTTGGAGAGGGGCAGATACAGATCCTTCCCCTCCAGCCCCTCCTGCGGCCAGGGCACACCTGCGAGACCTTTGCTCAGCCCAACCAAGAACTGTCGGCAAGTGCTGTATGGAGTACATACCTTGCCCAAGGAGCATCGTCACACCTCTTACCCTAATCTGGGACACAGACAAATGGCTGGTGTCCTTTCCTGTATGTGAGAGGGCTTTCCGGGCAGCATCCTTGCTCTGCTTGTGCTCACCACATGCTTTTTCTAGCCTGGCCCTGCTTCTTCCTTGCTCCGCTTTGCAGCCCAGCTAGGGAAATGAAATCCTTGTGGTCCACCTACTTCATGCTCACCCTTGTCCCATCTGGATCCCTAAAAAGAGAGCGAAGCTGTGGGCTGCGGGAGGCAGGTTGTCGGCGCAGGGCTGACCCACCTCCCAAAGCCTGGTGCAACAGCAGCCAGCCAAATAACCCCTGTGGAGGGCTCTGCTTTTAGGTGTTGGATCATTTCTGCCAGTATTGCATTTGAGGTGGAAAAGGGATTTAGCCTATGGATGCGGTAGGTTTTGGGCAGTTTAAGGTGGACTGGGATTGTGCATTTGGCATCCCACCAGTTTATACCTGAAGGTGCATGCAAGTTCCTCGCTTGCCGTACGTCCTGTGTTTGCAGGGAGCTGCGCATTTGCGTAGGATTTCAGAGCATGGTATTATCTGAGATCTGTGCAGTGCTGATGTGCTGATGTCCTGATCAAAAGATCTCATAATATTTTTAGATTTTTTTTCAGTACTGGCAGAACCGTTTTTTCATGTTGAAACCCCTTGTTTCCTTATAATTTTGATTCCTCTGATAATTGTAATCCCTCTAATACTAATTATTCATGGTTTTATGTTGGTTTTATTCTGTATCACTAATAGTCTCTTCTGCTGAGTCAGGCTGCTTACTACAGTGTTGGGGTTTTTTCTTATGATTACTGGGTCATTATATGCTTCCTCATTTTATTTTTTTCTTATTTTATTAACATTTGGCCAAAACATAGTCAGGAAGATAGTCTGGCCCAGTAAAATGTGCACTGTGCAAGTGATAATAAAATTTGATCTCTGGTCTTGATTGTGACTCTAAATGTATAACCTTTGTCAAGTCTCTTCATCTTTTTGAGTCTTAGCTTTCTCATTCATGAAATGGGGCAGTAATAGTTATATCCCTTGTAAAAAAAGATCTAATAACAAAAATATCCTTTTCAATGTATTTTATTTTTCAGATTTAAAACAGCTATAAGGCATTAAAACTACTTCTCACTGCAAAAGAAAGGATGTTAATTTAAAATAATCAAAACACTTCTTACTACTGAAGTCATAAAAATCCAAGACTCTCTCTTTTACCTACAAACCAGACTATTTCTTTGATGTAACTTACCAAGAGAGATAACTGGCCTTCTACGCTTCCAACATGTTAATTTTGCGTGGATGATGTTACACGTTTGTCTTTCAAAGCTATTTTCAGTGTTGCTTCATGTAAGAGAGGAAGGGAGAAGGGAGAGACTCCGTGCCAGATGGGTGAGGTAGTAAGTTGGGATGCAAGTGATTGATTATTGATTCTTACCAACTGAGCGTAATTAAAAGTAAATCTTGTTTTGGTTTTAATGCTTTTGGGCCAGCTGGGGGCTAGTGTATGTAGCTATACCCCTCCCTCCAGCATACGGAGCTATACAGTCCAGTCCTGAAGAACCTGTCATCCAGATGAAGACAAAACACCAGTATAATAATTTCATTCGTTAAGGCGTTGCAGGAGTTATTGTTCCTTTTTTCAAAATCAGAAACCTGAGAGGCTATTACCAAATTTGAATTAAGCTCCGTACCTCTTTCAGTTATGAAATCTTAGGCCAGCTGTCAGCGATTTCTGTGTCACAAGTATTCCCCAGCCTAACGATGGGACGCATATGGCCCGACTTAACGTTGCTGTGCTTCTCCCTTGCAGGAGGTTGTTCTCGCGCAGCCGCCCTCCAAACCCGCCCGCAGGAAGCTCCGGACGGAGGTGCAGGGGCTGGAGACCCCCGAGCTTTCTCCCACTATAAGTGTGACTTCTTCCCTGCCAGCAGTCAAGCCTCACCTCCCAGTCCAAAAGTAAAAACTTGTACCAAGCACGCCAAACTGCACCATGAGATCTGATGTGACAGGGTTTGCTCTTTGCATAATCTTGTGCTTAATAGTTCGGGTTTTGAGAATGCTTCACAAGACACAGGTCTCTGACATCTACGTTTGTCTTCTCAAATGCAGACTAAGTCTGTAGTGACTGTGTAAGTTGGTGATATTTGATTGATAGCCTCTTCAAACGTGTCCTACCTCTGTATCTGGTAGACATGTCTGAAGAGCAAGCCTTGCTGGTCAACCAGCATCTCTAACACAGCTCCTTTTAGATTTGTGGGTGTGTGTGTTTTTTGCCTTGCACATATCTGCTGGGATTTTGCTCATTCATGTGGACAGATACGACCAGATAAATGCCCAGGAAATTGAGTCATGAAATGCTTGATGTTGGTCATATCCTTGTAATATTTCTTCATTGCAAGGCAGGTTGGAAATGAGCTCACCACTGGTATGAGCTGAGCCATAGACCACTTGTGTTAATCTGATAATTGCCAAACCAAGCATGTATTGTTTGCTCTCATAAATATAGCTGTTGAAGTTGTCGGCAACAAAGACTTGTAGGGATTTCACTATGTATTTATTTAATAGCGGTGGAGAAGGGGCTGTACAAATAGTGAGTGAAGGCACTTGAAGCCCTGTTGGATCTATACGTCTCCCTCAACTGAAACACTGTGCAGCCTGTCTTCACCCAAAACCTTGCAAAGACATCTGATTCAATCTGAAACAAAACCAAGCTGCCCAGATCAGTTGAGCGGTTCTTGGCAAACTGTTTATCAGTAGACTGAATCTATGCTGCGTAATTGGAGATTAGAATAAGTAATAAGACTCCTAGGATGCCCTTAAAGTGCTATTTTGTGCTTTGGGAGCGCATATTCCATAGTGGTTCAAAGAAAGATAACAGCATTTGTTAGCATCTCAACTTAATCCTGTCTTGTCTGTATCTTTCCTAAAGTGTTTAAATGACCACAGAGGTATATCGCCCTATTTTTTATTTTTTTCTATCATTATTACTTTATAGCCTATGGAGAGTAGTTTGAAGCAAAATGGTAAAGCAGAAAACTGACAATTCACTGGAAGATAACAGCATAAAGACCTGTCTGTGCTGCGAAACAGATTCTGTTGCAAAGATCAGTACCATCAGCTCTGTTAAGAGAGAAGAGCTAACGGGGACCGTGGGCCGCTATGGAGCTTATTTAAACAGAGCATCTGGTTTGGATCACATTTGTCATTAAAGAGGTCTTGATGCCTCATGTAAAGCTTTAAAATGATTGATTTGGAAAAGGACTTGGATATTCAGCCAGTATTTCCTGTATTTTCTTTCCTTTTTCCTGTTGTTACCTCTGTTTCTTGGAATAGGTTGGTCCTTATGCACAGAACTGTCTCTTTTTGTACCTGCCTGCCTAGCTGTAATTTCTTTCAGAGCAGTTACCAAGGGCTATAAAGTAATAATAATAGGAGAGAAGTCTTTTATTTAAGCAGCAAAAGAGATGAGGAAAGTCCATAAGCCATCTCCCTGTTCCTATTTGTGACACCAGATGATTTTGGTGGAAATGACTGCTTTGAATGAAAGAAAGATTAATTTTTGAAGTAAAGAAACATCCAAATGGGTACTGCCCCAAAAAATCTGAGGTGGTATTTTCATGCAGATGTCCTTTCTTGCCACATAGAATGATTTTTGTATTTTCTATTAACCACTCCTGAGTCTTTAAACTCTACAAGCATCTGGAAACAGCTAATGCAAAGATGCTGCAATAAGCACAGCTATGCAGGGATTATTCTTAAGCTGAATCAGAATGCAGTGATTTTGAAATAATTGTGACAACCTTAAAATGTTTCTGTCATTCAGGTTAACAAGTGTGACTGTTTTTCTTTCAAATAGTCTACCTGATTCAGCCATCTCATTTCAGCATTACATTTTTCATCTCTTAAATCTGCAGTTTGTACCTTGTCTTTGAAGCGTAGTCCAGTGTGTATAGAGTACAGAGGTACAAAATGGATGGCTGGTCTTCTGGCATCAGCCACTGTTGAGGCTCTTAATTGAAATGTTTTGTATTTCTCTGTCTGGCAGACAGTCTTCCAAGCAGAAAAGGGCTATTCAGACGGCTATACGAAAAAACAAAGAAGCCAATGCTGTCCTCGCCAGGTTGAACAGTGAGCTCCAGCAGCAGCTGAAGGTAAGGAATGCATTGAAAATCAGTGACAAAGCTCCCTGCAATCAGTTTTGTGTCGCCTCCAGCAGAGAATCTTGTTCGTCCTCTCAGATGAGACCTACTGCGTTGCTTCCTGCTCTCTGGCAGGGAATAACCGTCCTGAATGTGTGGGCAGGATGAGGAAGCTAGAACCTGTGGGCTCCAGCTCCGCTGGCGGTTAGAGCAAGTCTAAAGGGTGAACTTTGTCTTTCTGAAAAGTTTGATAATGTGGTGGTGTCACTGAGTGCAGAAGAGCAACTCGAGCGTAGTTTTCTGATCTGAGCAGTTGTGCTACACAACTGTCTCCTGGAGTCAGGCATGGACTGGCTAAACCGTGCTTTATGTGAACATCTAACACTCATTTTTAATGTCTGCTGATTTGTCTTTTAGCATGTTCTCAAGGGGCTGCTTTCTTATAAACATCAGTTCTCATTTTTTTGTTGTCTTAGTCCAAAGGTACAGACCTTAGTTTTTCATCTGCTACAGCCTTTTCTTCTTTGCATGTTATGAACATGCTTGTCAACCCCCAGTTGCACTTTTTCTTCAGTCAAAGTGAAAGTTTGATTGCATGTGCTTAACATAATTTCTTAACTGCTTTTCAAGGATCTCCCAAGAGAGATGCAGGGTGGATGCTCTGTACTGAAATCGTAGCAAAATGTAGGACAGCAATTGAAATGAACATGGAGACAAAAGCTTTTAATGACAGCACATTGCTGTCATTCCTTGGCTGAGGTCTTACTTGCTTCCGTGCACCATCTTGAGCATGCTTAAACTCCCCAGCCTTCACAAAGCAGGCCGATGCTATTACCTGTATTTTACAGCAGGGTGAAAGAAGCATGGAAAGACAGAGTGATTTGTTGAAGTTCACACAAGAGCAGAAAACAGAACTTGTCCTTCAAGTCATATTGCTGCCTGGCAGTTTTCTGATGGAGCAGGGCTTTGCTGTTTTTCTGGAGGACAGAAGACTTCACAAGGTCCCCCTTGGGCACAGCTTGCATGGAGGCACAGGGAGCGTTTAAGTGCCCTCCCGTGCTGGGGCTCTGAGCCTGCCCAACTGGGGTACCAAAGCCGGCAGGAGTCGTAGGTCCGCCCAGCTCCCGTCCTGGCCAGGGAGCCCTTTGCTGAGAGGTCAGCAAGAGCTGGGTGCCCCTCAAGACCAGGAGACCCTTTCCCAAAATTGCTGATCCCCAAAACCTTCACAGTTAGTTTCCAACCAAGACTGATGATCTTCCTCCCGCAGCTGCCAAAGAGGTAGATTGCAAAGCCTGTGTTGTCTTAGAAAGGCTAAGTGTCATTCATTTCGAAAAGGAAAGAGGTTGGCTGTGTGAACCAAAAATTCTCAAAAAGCTATTTTGAGGGAAACGTGATTTTAAAAGAACCTGATTTTCTTTGGTAAAAATGGCCAATTGTGGCCAGCTTTGCTGCATCCCAGGCTATTCCACTGGCCAGTGCATGACTACTCCTCTCCGTGATCGCCCGAGCGAGCAGTTGAGCCTCTGTATTGCCCCACTGTAAGAGGAGACAGTAGCCAGCTGTGCGGGGTGGTCGTGCGACGTTGGTACGGTGTTTTGAGACCGCAAGGAGAGTTACTTAAACAGCAGAGCCCTGAGCCTCCAGTCAATGCAGCGGTTTGCCTGGCTGCTCTTCACCGGAGCAGCGTGGTGCATGCGAGCATCCCAAAAAGTTACAGCACATCTCTCCCTCCTGCAGGAGGTTCACAAGGAGCGAATTGCCTTGGAAACACAGCTGGAGCAGCTACGTCCCGTCACTGTCTTGTGACTTCCCGCACTGCCACCATGCAGTGGCAAGAGTGGAACACACGTCCCGACGGCCTTGCAAGGAGAGGAGTACGGCACAGCTGAGCAGGGTTTCTGCCGAGGTGATGGGGAGGACCGGCTTCTTGGGTCTCCCTTCACCCTGCTGTGGGCGTTTGAAACAAATATCTGACTGCTGGATATTTCTGAGTGGGGGAATGGTCCACCCTCTTCCCAGCCTAATGTGTAAATGCAGTTTATCACTGAAATGAATAACCTGGGAGTATTTTATTTATGTAAAGAATTCCTGATCTATACGCGTTCTAGCAGCACCTCCCACCCCCATCATTAAGAGGTACAGCATTCCTGAATTCTCGCTTAATTTTAAAACTTAGCCTCTGAGATGGGCTTCTGGATGTTACTGATTCCTGTAGGATTGTATCATGCGGGAGTACCTGTGAGTTTAATGTACTACAGCAGTAAAACTCACTAGACGTACAGAGTCTTGATCCACAATCACAGGTCAGATAATTATTTTCTTAGTACTGTTTATTATTCAATCACAGATGTATTTTAATGTCAGAGAACTTGTATTTTATAAGTTCAAATCATATGAGAGAACAGTAAAAGAATATTAAAGCTTGATTATTTTGGAAATTATAGAAAAAAATATCTGTTTTTTGAGCTGTAACTGTTTCCTATCACTAGTGTTTGATCACTTGCTTGCAACTGCCAGTGTCTCTGCATACTTTTAGCATGTTTGAGATCACTTGTTTTATAGCTTTTTTTCTTCCTTTTTTTTTTAACCAACAGTGTATTTCTAACAAGAGGTTAAAAATGCATTCAGGCATTTTTATAAAAGCTGTTCTATGTACATTTGTATTAGTCTGCTTTGTTGTCTTACTAGCTGCTGATTTGTTTTAAGCATGTGTACAAGAACTGTATTTCCAAATGAAGGAAGATAGCAAAAGTGCTATACATGAGGTTATAAAATGTGTGATGGAAATAATTGCCTTCTACAGCAGGCTTTCGTTAAAGGCCCTTTGCACCTTGCTGGAGATGCTACTGATAGGATGAAGCTGCTGATGCCCATTTATTTTCTAAATGAAGAAGCAAAGATTAATTTTTAACCTGGGTCTGATCCAAGACCAGCTGAATTCCACGGATGCAGTGGTTGTTGGCTTTGGTCTCAGTTCTCGCAATGGAAGCTGGCTAACTAACGTTGCTTTATTTCTTGGGCCAATACCCGTAGACTGGGTGACTTCAGACACAACGATGTCAGTCATGGATATGATGCGTGCTTCACTGCAAGGGAATGTCACCTACCTGTTATCTGTCTTAAACATGATGCTGCACATGTTTTGTGCCCTGTTATTCACCGAACTAATTTAAGTGTAGGCGTTTGCCTTGCGGAAACAACGCAGCAGTTTTTTCCCGTTGTTGGTGTGATGCTTTCTCCCTATAACTGTAGGATGGCCCTGGGACCGAGAGGAAGGAGAAGCAGGTTTGAAGCAGCTGGGTAGCCTCCCTTCGGGGTGTGTCGTGGAATGGCTGTGGTGGGATGTCAGAGAACACCAGAGCAGCCAAAAGTTTTGTTGAGAGATGAGGGAGACGTCAATGGGAATGTTTAAAGTGATGAGGAAACAGCCACCTTTTACTGAAAGGGGTATGGATGTGGGACATGGATCCAGAAGTCTGAAGGTGAAAATAAGCATTTGCAGAATTGTGACCAAAAATCTGTTATAACGCATTGGTTTTGGTTCAAGTAAACATCACTATGTCAACTAACAACAGCTGTTTCTCTGGATTTGGGACTTCTTTTGTGTGAGTGTTGCATAGCTGGGGTCAGACAGTCATTCCTGGGCAGGGGCAAAATGCGAGAACTGCAGACTTTTGCAGGAAGCTGCAAAAAAAAGCCGCTGCCCTCTTGCTAGTAGTGGTACTGTTCAGAAGTTATCATCATTTATTTCATATGTTCGTAACACTGCGTCATTCCTGAGATTTTAAAGAGGTTAAGTGCTAGCTCTGTTTGCTTTTTAGTTCTTAATTTGGTTAATAATCCCCTGCTATTTGATAGGAAATAATCATATGGCACATTTGTTTTTTATTGTATGGGTGATTTTTTTGAAGAAAGCTTTTCAATGATTACGCAGAAGTGTGCACGTTGCATTTTTAAGGCAGTGGAGGGCTTTTTCTTTTTTGATAAGAATTCCTCTAGAATAATTCCCCATTAATTTCGCTTGGGTTATTCATGGAATAGATGCTGTTCAAAGGAAGAGTGGAAGAGTCTGCTTTATATGTCTTTTTCCAATGTCTCTCTTCTAACATACAGGGTTTTTTTTTGTTCACTGGAAATTAGGATACTTGATTAGCCAGCAATGAAATATTTGCTCAGTTGTTACTCTACCACAGGATTTAATAAATTAAAAATTAACCATCCCTGCATCTTTAGGGTTACAGTCAACTGCCCCACTCAGCTTCAAGGCCTGGAGTGTGAGTTGATTTGTATTGTTTGGTGAAATGTCGACTATGAAGATGATACACTACCTCACATGGAGAGTAAAGTGAAATATTCAAGGAGAAGTGTTGGTGTGTTATACGTACGATGCAAGAAGTTACTCTTCTGTATGTCTCAGTACTTAAGCATTCATGATTGCCCATGCAAAATGAAAAAGTGTGTCTGGTTTTGGGAGGCTGTTAGCATTTTGAGAGGGAGAGGAGAAGGCATGATGAAGCTATAGACAGTGCTGCTGACAGTTGCTCCATGCAGCCACGCTCATGGCTACTATTAACAGACCCTGGCTGGTCAAAAGTCACATCTAAATCCAGTATCACAGATTTCCTCCAAAAGTATTTTTTCTTTGGAAAAATGTGGGTACAGCAAAATCATCCTTTCTTGCAGAAAGCTTTACTTTCTGAAACTTTGGATGGGAGATGCTCCTAGACCCAAGACAGACCATCTGGTCAGAAAGGCAGACCTCACAGGCAGTTTGCTCAACGTTCAGGGCACTTTTCGTGAGGTACCAGAGAGCAATTGACTTCAAGTGTCTGACCCAGAGCAGCAACCAGGATCTGCCTGTCTCAGCTTACAGCCTGACCAAGGAGCGAGAGCAGCTTCCCAGCCATGAGGTCTTGCTCTCCTCAGTTCATGGTTTCTGTAGGTACCTACGCAGAGCAGAACATGGCCAGCAAGAGAGGATAACTGGGAAGAGGAGCTGGAGCACGGCTTCCTTGCATCTGAGAGGATGCGCTGACCAGGAGCCCGGTGCCCCTTTCTAAGTCTTCAGTTTCCCGCAATTATTCTGGTTTGGATAATTAAATATTTTTGTCTACAGGACAAGGCTAGGCAGAGCAGATACGGATCTTCCTCGGAGCGTGTGTAAGTGTGCACTCACCTGTCTTCCTTTTCATCATGCATTTCTGTATGGATCTGTTAATGTTCCTACCACCTGATACCTTTCTACAAAATACTTGTTTCAATACATGGTAATTAGTGGTGGAAAACAAAAATTCCCAGCTAAGTGTAGTGACTGGTTTACCTTTGTAGATCAACCCATTTTTATTTGAGCCTTTGAATATAAATAATGACCTGGTAATTAAGCAAGGCATGCAGCTTCCATTTCAGAGGCATTCCTTTAAACAAACTGCCTGTGCACAAACATTAATCCTTAATGGTCAATGTCCTTCTCCTAGTTATCAGTTTTATACTAGGATGCAGTGGAAATATTACCACCTCTTTCCAGACAGTTCTCAGCTCTCTATTCCAGGGAGTTTTGGTGATGTAGCAAAAATGGCAGCGATTAGTGGATTCAGCCCTGTTATTGGTAAGTTGGTGAATACCCTTTTTAACTCAAAAGATTATCTCCAAACTGTTTTTACATGCATGGCAGTAGTTTTGCTGCTGGGAATTATGTATCCATACTGGGGACAGGAACTTGCTCGGCTACCATCCAGACAGTCCCGGCTTGACACTGCCAGGGCTAACCAGCACGGGGTGGTGACAACTTGTGCGGTAAAAGGACCTCAAAGGGATCATTGGGACTCAGAACCCTTCAGAGGAAGCATTTAGGATGGGCACGATACAAAAATTGCCTTTTGGTGGTGTATAAGCTGCTTTCCTCCCAGTTGAGCTTCCAGATCAGGAGGAGGAGAGCCTGGAAGTGTTGCTAGCCAGGGAATGAGGGGTGTCCCTTTTCCAGCACCATCGGCCCTTCAGCACACACGGTCCTTGACAAGAAAATACACAGGCTCACGAAGTCACATATTTTATTGACTAAAGAGTTCAAGTATTTTTTCAGGGGGAGGGAAAAAAAAAACAATCCAAGTGATGTAGTACCTTTGAGAAGGTGATGTATTTTGAAGCTTTTTTTCAGTTATCTTTATGATAATGTGCTATGAACATATGCATTATGTTTTACTCCGTTACTGATTTTTTGATATAAGAAAATCGTATTGCAAGCATTATCGTTGTTAATCTGAAAAAAAAATACCCTGAGGCTATTATATATTTGAATTTAACTTATAAAGTAGATAGCCAGATTTAAGCAATTTGTTTTCACAGCTGCAGACTGTCCACGTGGTAAGCTGCAAAATGTATAGTGTTCTATACTATGCCCATCTAATTTTGGAAAATATATGTGATATGGAGCTGGGTGCTACATTGAAATAAAAGCGTCCAATAACTTCAAATTGCCTTGCTTTTGTGGTTTATTTAGGATGTCGATTGTGCAAGTCTGCCAGGAGAGCAGAAACTGTGACTCGCTGTGGGAAAAATACAGCTTTGAAATGGCTGATCTTCAACTGTGAAAGATGAAGTCACTTACGCTGGGGTCGCATGTACGCGAGAGAGACAGAGAGAGACTTATTTAAAGTGAAATCATATTTCCTTAAGCTTCAGTTAAGTCAAAACTTCACCTTTACTTTGTCAGGCCTCGCTTTGTTAGAATTCAGACTTAGCTCTGTGATGAAGGCCGGTGGACGGCACCACCATGAAGGAAAAGCCCTTCCAAGCCTCCAGCAGACCCT